ATATGAGGCGACAACCCTTGGCATTGGAGCTGACTTCGAATGCCAGGAATTATCGATTTCCGAGCACCTGAAGAGGAATGACACGACGGGGGCATTGTATTGGCAGTACCAACCGTTTCAGAATGAGAGCCGACAGTGCACCGTCGACATGTTCCAGCAAAGGAACGACAAGATCCCCCTCTCCATTCACTTCCTTTCTCCTGCGGCCCTCGACGACATGGACCAATGTCAAACATTCACGGTTCTGGTGCTTGGGCGATGGAATTACACAGGGACCTCGGCCATGACCGAGAAAAACACGATTGCTTTGCACTGTGAACCGCAAGTCCAGATGCAGAACTTTTCCATTCTCTTCGACCAAAAGGGTCAGATTCAGGATTATAACCCTGTGCCAAACACTGCGATTACCTCCGGCCCCATGTATGAGAATGCCACGGTTAGTTTGGGTCAATTCAACAAAGTCTTCGCCTCCATTCCCCAAAGCTTTGTCGATGAGGAGCAACAAGGGCCCACCGTGTCTTCATATGACTGGGCAGGCTTTCTGGTTGCTCGCTTGTATAAGCAGAGAGAGAATGGGGTGTCCGCGCTGGATCCCGTAGACCTGATTACCATGTCGGAGACGGTCTACCAATGGGTGTACAGCACCTACTTTTCTCTGTGGGGACCGACCTACCTCGAGCCGCTGGAGCAGCCATACACGGCCACCAATGCGACCGTTTACTACAGCACTTGGGCTATGGTCCCGTCGGTCCCCTCATTGACCATCGCGCTGTCTATCATCGCGCTGGACACGCTGGTCGTGCTGGTTGTGTTTGGGACACGACGGGGTCGGTTCAAAGGGCCACGGATTCCACGATCCATTGGATCCGTAATTCCTTGGATTGCAAACAGTCGGATGCTGAGCGACTTCCGAGGGACTTATTCGTGGACCAGCCTCCAGCGCCGGGATTACTTGGATCGATTAAACAAACGCTATGCATTCCGTATGTTTCCAGGGTCCGATGCCCAGTGGCGGTTTGCTGTGGACGAAGAGCCGCTGGTGAAGGAGGACAAGCCCACTGTCGTTACTGATCCGGGCGCGGTGGATCCCGCTAAACAGCCTGATGCGATTGAGCTCCGGCCTATTGGCATTGATGATACTGGGGCCCAACGAAATCATGAGTAATGTGATATGACCTGCTTGTATTATAGCCTGGCGTCTTGTGAGTTTTGGTTAGACCGGATTTTGATCTTGTTTGATGTATCTGTGTATGTAATGCATGTGTTGATCTTTGTACATATCGCTTGGATAATATATGCACCACATCATGTTGACAGAAAGAAGCGAGCGACAAAGGATATTCCCTGTATATCGTAATGTTGACCCGTCTATTCAGTAACATCCATCCAAGCGCATCATCCACGGTCCTCATACTCGGACCTCCCCGATCCACCACCCTATTCATGCCCACATTGTAGTGGCCCGCTCGAGTTATTGGACGCCTCTTTTCCCTCCAGGGTAAAAGTGAAGCTACCAAGAGCAGGCCAGGCCCTAGGGATGCTTTGAGAGTAGGTCAAGGCTTGGGTCTCTGTATGGTTGAGGAGATCAAGACCCTTGTCTCCAGTACGGTCAAGATGAAACTTTCACGAACCATACTATCAGCCACACCCTCGCGCAGTACTAGCCCTACCAATATAATAGATAACTTCCGTTATTTATTCTACTCAGCCTATGGAACCTATCTGGTGACAACTCCTCTCGAGGTGTACAGCAAACACGGGGATATGCAATGATTTAAAGCGCCTTGCGAACCAGGGCACTGCGAATGTACACCAAATCCCGCGTGCAGGTGTGCCTGACTCGTAAAAGGTGAACAACATGGCTTCACTGTCGAATCAGTCTACAGAGTTTTGACCCACCTTCGGAGCGAACCTGCAGCCTCGCCTGCAAGAAGGCAAACTCTCCGGCTTCATTCGGATACGCCGCAGTGTTGGTGCATTGAGCCAGTTCTATGCCACAGGAATTGGTGCTTACTCTTTGGGATTCTGAGTACTATCGTGAGTGAACTCCCCGGACGTCCCGGTTCTCTCCTCCTTATTCGCATCATTCCGTGTAGATCCAGAACGGATTAAACAGAGTGGCTGAAAGGATGCCACGGCGCAATTTCGAATGATACAGGTACACATCTACCACACCGAGTCGTCGGCATCTTATCCGACTCCATGTGAAGCCCAGCGCGCCTTATGTAGTAGTAGTCGCCAGCTGAAATGGGCAAACATGGGAATCCCACCTTGAACCCGAGTCGGGGCGGCTACAGGGTAGGAACTGGTAACCCGCAGTTAGGCTAGGTGAGAAAGTCCGAACATAGGGGTTCTTAATAGGGAGCCTATAGGCTAGGTAGGTTTAGATAGGTGCTTTAAGGAGGGCGAGCGGCGAGTCAACCACCCTGTATTGCCCGAGGCTGTGCGAGTTCAGCGCCTGACATCCATGGTAGTCTCAGAGCTCGCTCGGAATGCAAGTACTGGGACTGTATTATACCATGGCAGTATGTGCTATACTACCATGTTCATAGAGACGTATATTCAGGAAACCGAAGTGATCTGCAGCTCGGTGTTTCGAATCCTGGGGTTTGATTGGGATAGGCCCACTTAATAATGTTCTAGGGACAGTGTCCAATAGCTTTATTTACTGAATCTTCTTTTTTTTGGGCAACATATGGAGTAGTACACTCCTATTCATCTGGACATTCCTCTACCATAGCCTCTCCTGATCTCGGAACATCTCTCTGCATGCCGGCTGCCGGATTGGCGCAAATCCCACCCTAATGAACAGTCTGGTATCCCCGCAGCTACACTTCGTCACCCTTGCATGGTATCTACAGAGGCAAATTGAGGGGCTGACTTATAACCCAGGTCAGGTAGGATACCTAGGTGGAGTCTGACCGAATCAACATCAATCGGGCCCTCTTTCCCACGAGATCGGAGCAGTGTGGAGATGGGGTTGTATTCAAAATAAGCAATTACAATCCTGTCTGGGATCTATCCCGTCTGGACACTGCTCACTTGTATTTCGGGATAATAGTCTCGTATAGCTAACGACACTTGACTTGCGCTTTGCCCCGCAGTATCCTCATAGCTCTATGAACTAGTTCTCGGGGTTTCTTTACCCTTCCCAGGAATGTAGCCTCCTCCATGACTACCAAGCTGGATGCGAAAGCTCCTAGGCTGTCCAGAAACGGCAGACTGCTTAGACGGCTCATCCGAATTGCCGGTGTTTTCATCTGTACGGCACTGATATCGAGGCTGATATTTGGCGCTCGTTGGGACGTATCCCCCGCCGTGCGGCTGAGGATCCTTCATGCAGTCTTTTAGATAGGGCATTGTGTGAGAATAGGCGGAAGATGGGCCTACCTGGTGTGATGCCATTATAGTGAACCAGATGGGGTTGTGTGGGTGTAGGTTGTAATAATCGAGGCGGGAGGAGGTAATTGAGAATAGGCAGAGCAAGAAAAGGAGCAGGGAGGCAAGAACTTATAAGCACCAGGAGGCAGAGGATGGTGTTTGCCTTGTTGAAAGTGGAAACCTTGGGAAGATCAGCCTCACACTACCGCTGATGCAGCAATGCCAGCCTTGCGTCTTTCTTTCCCGAGACCAGGGAATAGAACATATCTAGTCGAATTCCCCCATTTCAGCTTATTTCAACAGGGAGCTTAAACGGTTTGCTCCTCCCTAGAACAGCGTGCACTTCTTCATACTCTTAGCCTTCCACACAACATGCTGGCGCGAAGCTATGGAAAGCGAATCCACCATAACTACATTGTCGCTCTTGTTTTTTATATGATAGCTGAGATTGTTTTGCTGGGATCCGTCATTGGTTCATGTCTGATGAGACGATCGAGGCATGATCCAGAAGCAATACCGTTTAAATCGCTCTTTATCTCCCTTCTAAGTCAATTAATGTATCGGCCTAAGTGGTGAATCTTGTATAACGGTCAGGAATGTCCTTGGCTAATGATCCATTCCAGACCGATACTATGTGCTCTTATTTGGTTATTCGGCATACTCCGACATGTACTGGCAGAAAACAATAGGGCCATGGTGGTCATTGCTCAGATCTGTGAATATCTGCAGATGATCCTTATCATGAATATATTATACCGGCTTATATATGCCTACAAGGCGCAGCATCGCAACGAGACCACAAAGTCGATCCTTCCATCGAAAGTGCACAGCAGCACTTTGGTGATCTTGATTACTATTTCTACCTCGCATTTTATTCCCTGGGTACTGGCAGTGCTTAATGACGACAGTGACCATTGGCATTCGGCTTACAGGCTCCAACTGGCGGGCGATGGCCTCGTTTTGATCGCTTCTCTAGATATCATGTTCAAGACATTCACAATCATCCGGAAACCAAACAACGCCAACCTTTCTTCTAAGGTGCGCTGCTCCCCATGGCTTGCTAACTGCATCGTTGAAGTGCTGACGGACAAATAGAACGGAGCTACCTCTCTCGCTGTTGGAGGTTTCTTCTTTTTTGCCCTCAATCTATCTCTTCTCGTTAGCAATAGCAGTAGTGATATGGATACTTACATGCGGGGAACGTTGTGGCCGCCTGAAAAACCATTATATCATCATATAGTGAAGGCTATCTGCATAAGTGGGCAATACATAGGTATCATCCATTGTTGTATGCAGTGGCATAAATTAGGAGTCTACGGCCTACGCAGGCCAATCTCTGCGGACGATGAGCAGGCGCACATGCTTACGACCTCTAATGAGGAAATGCTCTAGGCAGAAGCTGTCTAGCCGTTCTGGTCTGTTTTCTTTTGAATCTGATGTAGCAATAGTGCGAGAGTGTGGCAGTTCAGTTTATAATATTGAAGTCATTGAGGAGAATGATATCATGGGATTTGTATTTTGAAAACCAAATCCTTTTCCTTTTCCTTTGATCCAGGAGTTTACTGCCTTCCTGTATATTGGTAGTTCGATTAGGAGAGCTTTCTGGGCGAATATGGATATTACCGACTTTTTCGCCACCTCCCCATATTAAATGCATCGTACAATCCGGATGGCAAGCCCTTATTGGAAACACGCCAGACGAAAAGAACGAGGAGGGTCAGCGGGATGGACACTACCCAGAAGATCCAGAAGCTTTGTGATATGCGGATCGTCACAGGGTCGAAATTGAAGAATTGATTTCCGAATATGGTCTAGATGGTTAGCAATAAGTTTCCATAGCTAGCAAACAGATAGAGCTCACCGATACAGTTGACACTGGTAAAAAGACAAGTGTCACGAATGCAATGGTGGCCATGGAACTGCTGTCTGTCTGCATGATTTGATTGCCGTCTTGCGTGACGAGGTGGAAGGACTACCATACGTAGTACTTATTAGTGTCTCCATGAGTTTGGCCAATGATTTATCGAAGAGTATACAACATACTAATGCAATGACGTTGCCCATCCGCTTTTCAAGACTCTTCAGCCGCAGACTGATAGACTGGAACTGAGTCTCCGCGTGCGTCAGCATTCCCTGTGCCATTTCAGTGGCATGGCGGTCCCCGTCAGGGACGTCCTCCAGGATTTGTTGATGATTCGAGGACAGCTTTTTTAAAGTGAGCATTGTAGCTTCAGAGCTCTCTTGGAGAAATAGGATATGCTTGGAAACATTATGCAGCCCAGTGAAAGACTCCCTATCCTTCATCGTGGTCAGGGTGTTCTGGAAAGGTCAGCAATTGCCCAGGTGCACACGGCTAGAGTTCGGAATACCAGTTCAATATGGCGAAAGACATCCATAACATCCCAAACGGTATTGTCCATTTGCAAAGATAGCTCCTCTAAGATGATGGCAAAGAGACTGTACGGGTCACGGACGACGTTGGTATTTATTGACGATGGTGGAATATCTTGAAGCCGTCCTTTAAGAGAGATAGACGCCCCGAAACAGAGAAGCGTTACTTCTGGATCACGATTCGAACCCACTGCCCACCGGAGAAAATACCCTGACCGTATCCACGTCGAGTCGCCGTGCTGCATCTGTGGAGCTCCCGGCCTGGGATCGGATATCCGCGCCTTGCCATGAGCATCATGAGTCACCGTGATGTTCTTACACAAATAGTGGAACCAGGAGCCTTAAGATAAGTACAAGTTACTGATCAGTATAAACATGGCAGATGATACCTTACATACAATTATAGCCATTTATGGAGTTTAAAGCCCCAAACGAGTGCGTGACCGACCGCAATCGACCCGCAAGGAATGCAGACGGCGTAGCATAGTGATCAAAGAGCCAGAGAAGTCCTTCAGCAGTGGCACTGCTTGGCAAGTCTAGGGGCGAGAAGCTTATAGTATATCAGTCGCAAGCGATCCCATGGAGTGGATGGACAAACATGATTCGTAGTACAGGTACAGGCAACTGCTCTAGTTCAGGTACGGTGACCTTTCGCGAGATTAATTGGTAACGACCTGATCGTCCTGTTAGCTACCATATGCTGATTGCAAATTTGGGGCGATCCCTGTTACCATCAGACGCCTGGACCGAATCTAGGACGTCCACTGTGAACGCATGGGGGCTTGAAAGGGTGGGTTTGCTGAAAGCGGCGCGCTTGAAAGCGTCCAAAAGCGATCGATCTTGAAAGATAGAGGACATATTGACTGCTTGATGTTGATTCCCCCCACCCCGGCCACGAGACGGCAACGAGCTGGTTCTCAGCCTTGCGTCCTGGTTGACTAAGCCGCCTCCATAACTACTCCAGCTGAACCGCGAGGATACGGCTGTTGATCATAACATTCTCCCTCTCAAAAGCTTTGACATAGCTTTTTGAAAGGCTCCTACCCCGTGTCCTCTAATCGTGATCAGCAATCCTTCCTAGAGAAATGCAGCCTGATATTGAACTTGGGCATATCCATGGCCACACCCCAGGTGGAAACAGCACAGTCTCCTTGGTAAGGTTTACTCCGGGCATTCTAATGACTATAGGGGAGGGAACTGATATCGAGCACCTAGACCGGAAGCATTGCTACCGATTCCGAAAAACTGAACTGGTTCGCAAAGGTCATTTTACTCGCTGCCCATTGCGGGTATCATACTGATCCTGATAAAACAGAGCCCTAGGTACTATGAAATATACCTGAAACCCAGTTCTTATTCGGAGACATACTGTGCAGCCTATCTACCAGGAAGAAAATACAAATCCACTGGGAAATACCGGCACAAAGACACCTTAGGGCGCGTGTGGATAGGTCCTGAAGATGACCGATACTTGAGAGCTACGGATGGGCGACTAGTAGAACTAGTAGTTCAAGTGTCCAAGGATATATGGCATGGCCCCACCAACTCGACCTGGGCTCGGAAGAAAATCGAGGAGTCTACCCCGACGATACTTCGAGTTGTGTACTCGCTTTTGGGACGACAGCTTCAGAATAACCAGGACGCGTGGTCAAGGTTTACCATGTGCCTGGAGTGGCTTCCGTCCTGCTTGACCATCGCTGGTCTGGTAAGACGGCTCATAGCTCCATGTGCATGGCGTGGCTGACATCATGTAGCTATTTATCCCAGCAGATCTTGGCGGAGAGTTGAGAAACAATGGTCATTACGAACAGTTCAAGTATCACTACTGGGGCTATTCAAAGACCCCGGCCAATCTTCACGAGGTCGAACCATCGAGCACTAACACTCTGCCAGGCACTCGTCAATACGCAAATGGGATTTCAAAGCGGCCTCTGCGTCCGAGGCGGCTGTGCTTGCTTCAAGACGAGGGAGGTATTGCCATTGTCAATGTCGAAAAATGGGAGGCAGTGCATGGTAGCATGGAGTACCTGTTCATATGCTATACCACTGAGCAGTACAGCCATAAGTCGAACGAAGACATGGATGAACTTCATCGCATTGCTGAAGCTGCGGCCCGGATGGCAGGGGTTGCGGCTTACTGGATTGCGTGCAGCTGCATGCCTGACGATGGCGACCAATTTGAAGACGTCTACCGGATCAGCGACGTCGTCCGGGGTGCCCAAGCCTTGGTGGTGATCATTGGCCCCTCTCCAGGTCTCAGCCGAGACGAAAGTGGAATGCTTCGTCATTTGGGGAGTCGAATGTGGACCTTCCCTGAGGTCCTCCTGAGCCCATCGAGTCAACCGATCTCCATATACACGCATGATTGTCACCCAAATTCCTTCCGCGTTCTGTCGAAGCGGAACTTCGCAATTGAAGCCTGGGGAGACGCCGCTGTCTCAAGACAACTTATTGATCATTATGAAGGTTCGATTATACTGAGTCCTCTTGAGCTGGTCTCCATCGCCTTGCAATGCTTTCCGAATCGTGACACCACGACGTTCTACAAAGGGGACCTTTCGTACGCCCTGATGGGCTTGTTACGACGTCGTCCAAATGTTAACCCGAATGACTCGGCCTTTGAAGCCTTCTGTCGATTGTCTTTGGCCAACGACAGCGATCGGCTGCTCGAGAGGCTGATATGCATGCTACCTCGAAACATCGACCAGCCTTGGTATGAGATCAACGACTTCTGGGACAGTCATCTTTGGGACATTGAACCTCTTTGCCAAGTTGTCGGCATCGGTGGCGAAGACACTGTGATTATGAGTGGTGCTTTTGGTGCTCCGATTCGCTGGACATCCTTTAAGCCGGTCAACATGTTGATGCGTAACACGACAAAACGTTCGGTAGCCAGAGTTGTTCTTCGCAGTACTCCTGCTTGGATCGTTACAGGCGTGATTATGCTAGCAATCAGCCAGTCCAGAAAAGGAAACTACCTTCCAGTCACACTGATCGGGTGGATATTGACAGTTCTGTACATTTTGGTCATCTTGGCGTCTCCGTACCTCATATCCTCTCTTTATGTTGGTAAGACGTGGGCGGCACAGCCATGGCTGTTCGGGTTTGAGGGCTACATGGAGATTGGTGAGATCGAGAAGCTCGTCTTCGGCATCAATCTTGGCCGCTTGAAGTGGAGTCCCTATTCCAGCGAGCTCTCGCTGCATGTATCCCAGAACGGTGAGTGCGTGGGGCAAGATCCCACCTGCAGAGAATCTACCGCACAGTTTGTGTCCGCTGCCCAGAACTCGCGGTATGGAGAGCTCAAGCTCTTCACCTTGATTGATACCAATACTTTGACCGTCACCCTATTCCGGGCTCGCCGCCCGCCGGTGGCAATGCTGCTTTGCGGCAGCGAGGGTGGCATGCAGCGAGCGCTGCTTTGTTCTTACGATTGGAAGTCCCAGACCCTCTATCGCGAGACTGTCCTGCGGGTGGACACGCTCGTCTTGGACAAGATCTCACGGGTGGATCGATTCCGGCTTGGTTTGAAAAGGCCTATGGCGGAGACGGTAAGGATCGCTTGCTAAATGTGAAACGAGGTTACATATGCAAGGCATGAGTAATATACATGTTCGAAACGAAGCAATTTTCGGTCATAAAAGGGGCATCAGGGTGAAATGTAAGAAAAGAAGAGAAGAGAAGAGAAGATGAAAAGTGGCACAGGATATTGAATGTGATTCCGTAGTCCAGCTAACAAATGCTCTATCCTATGCTGTCTTGCAGCAATTCGTCAAAAAGGCTCATCAATCACTACGCCCGCTACTCCATGGCCCATGCTTTCGCTCATGCGGTCCACTTCTTGTACTTCCTCACCTCCCTCTTGAAGATATTGGTCGATCCCGCAAGCTTCTTCGGCTCCGGTGTAAGAACCTGGCCCTTGTTCGGGGGTCCGTTGAAATCGCCGCTCCTGCAGGCATCGTCGATGGAATTGCACTTGGTCATCCAGATGTCGCAAGCGGAGACACCCGTGGGAAGAGCGGTGTTGTAGCACACATCACTTTGATCCCAGCACTTCTTGGAAGACTAGTAACAAGTTAGCAGTGACCCATGAAACACTAATGCAAAAGAGGAACATACAGCCCAGCAGCCGTTCTCATCGCTATAGTCGGGAACCTCAAACCCACACCAGTTATCACGCTGCAGGATACAACCGGCAGGCTTGAGACCCTTGTTCTGAGCAGCAACAGCCCTCTTCTCGGCCGGACAGACCGAGCGCTGCTCAACACCTTTGCTCTCATAGACAAGCGGCCCGGGGATAGGATAGGGCAGCTGCAGGGGCTTCTCATAGATATTGTACTTCACGCCAGGGCTATCCAGCGAGTAATAGCCCTCGCCGATGCTAACCGTCTCGGGCTTCGCACTGCCACCACCCTGCACAAAGATCTGGGCACAGTTGACATAGAACTGGGGATCCAGCGGGTCCGAAAAGGCCGCATTTTGCAGCGCCAACAACTCCGTCCGGACCAGGTAGTAACCTTGTTCGATATCCGAGGGCACCCGCACAGACAGGAGCCCGTTGTTGTCGATCAGCTTCTCCGTGCACCACTTCTCGGTGCTCTCATCGTAGCCCGTGTGCCAGATCTTGAACCATCCGTCGCCCGCGGCGTTGTTATCCGCTGTCGCGTCGTCGACCTTCTTCATATACACGGCGCAGGGCCCCTTGTGGCTGATGTCGATGGAACCCGGCTGGGCGCCGTCGGCCCACGCGCGGAATTCGAAGGTCAGGAGGGAGTTGGCTTTCGCGGGGCACACGCGGGACACGCCTTTTTCGCCATCTTTGCCTATTATTCCGGGCTGTATTAGCTGATGTGGTTCGGCCTTTATCGGGGTGGGGGGTGGTGGGTAATGAAGTTCCTACCGCAGGCAATATCCTTGCTGGACAAGGGCTCGATGGGGTATGTGGCGGTGTTGGCATCGCGGTTCATACGGACACAGGTGCCATCGCCCTGGTTCACTTCGTCCACGTAGAGCGTGGTGAAGGTTGTGTGGCTGAGCGCCAAGGGAGCGAGGAGGAGGAACAGGGCGGATCGAAACATCTTTTTTATCTAGGCCGACGGAATGGAATGTAAGGCAAGGATCAATCACAGATTGACAGTTGAATGACGTTTGAACGTAAGGAATGAATGAGTGAGAGAACCTGCCTCAAGCAGGTTGGCTAGAAAAGAATGACTACAAAGAAAGGAATGACTTGTAGAATGGAAAGCAAGACGGTGGGACCGAAAGAGGCGACGGTGAGGGTATATAAAGAAATCCAACCTTCAAGACCCTGCACAAACTTCAAACACCACCAATACGCTGGCGGACCCCCATCGACTAACCGAAAAGCCCAATTGAACCCTTAATAGAATTAAAGCAGGCCATCCATGAGTCCAGTCGATCAATTAGATTGCTCGGCGCTTACCGAGAGATTAGCAGCGGAGATCGAAGCAGCCAACCCTTCAACGCCGACGGGTCCGATCGAAGTCCAGATTCGCTGAAATGCCGTCGGGTCATCCGCCCCCGAGGGTCTTTCTTGGCGGTTTCAGAGCTGTGGTGGCGTTCGCGTGTTCTTTGTCGCTGTTGGATTTGGGGGAAATTGACGGTGGAGCATGTTCGCTGACAGACCGGCGGCCACAGGCACCGGTGAGGGTTAATGACTGCAGGGCCATCCAGTGGTTGTCGGTCCTGCGAAATGACCCCGTTTCACACTGAGTCCAGTCCAACTGGATCGGTCGAACATGCATCAAGCAGGTTTTGGAGGGAATTGCAACCTGCAAACATGCTCTTCTCATCGGTCGAACATAGTCAAAGGACAGTCTATTGTTTGCCTTGGTACTTGTGCAACGTCACCAAAGATAGCACTGACAATAATGGCATTATTCCATGCGCAACACAGGCAGTGTGACCGTGAGGGTCGTGTAGTGGATCGCAGCTAGGGCCAAGTTACATTCGGATAGAGTCTTGGCTTCCACTCTCGCCCTCTGGACCAGCTCCCTCTGATTGGCGCACCAGGCTCCAGTTCAGGTACAGATCCAGTCGGGTTTCGAAAGGGAATCCTTCGGGATTTACAGCCCCGTTGGAAATCGTTCTATTTTCTTGGCTTCTGTGAAGACACACTCGTTGCACTCGAATACATGCAGGCACAAAGAGATCTTTCTCCGGCATTAGGGTAAGGGCCACAAAGAACAGGGCAGAACAAACTTCACCATGTTCTATCTTTACCACTGCTTTGTTTACCACTGGGATAAGCACAGAATCATAGCAGATGGCCTCGGAGATTTAATGAAACTTTTCTGTATAAGCAACTCGAAAACATGATTGAACTTCCGGACAGAATATGAGCGGCCAGATTCCGCATGGTGCTGGCAGTCCACGCTCATGTCGCTTACACTTGGCAGTCAGAGAACATATGAATAAGAGTCTTTTTCAGCCACAAAGGATAGGTAATTTGGGTCGCGACCACTAGCCGCGAAGACCCCCTCGATGACTGCAAGGAAGGATCAGAATGGTGGATGTATAACGGTCGGAGATAATTCGATGTATCCTGCTTTGGGGTAAGAAAGAGTCAGCTGACTCGACCTTCCAGCCAGAACTCCATGCTCGCAGGATTATTTCTGCGAGAATCCGCAGTTTTCTCGATCCAATTCAGTAGACTATGCTGGTGCTTGAGAACGGCGCTTAGCATATGGTTCCCAAGGATATTGCATGCCTCAAAACGACAGGTTTCAAATCCATCGGGCACATCCAGTCAGGCTATTCATAAGGCACATAGGCGCTTCCGCAATAGTTTCAGGTAGTTGGCATGACATCATTGGATCTTGGCTCTCCACGTCGTGTCCAGCTTTCTGGTAAACATGTACTGTCGCTTGCGACGAGAATAATTGTCGTTTAGCTCATCTTCTGGCATTCGGCATGTTTACATTGGATTATTCGCTGATTGGAAGTCTGGTTGGGATACTAAAAGTCATTAACATGTTTCACTCGATCTAATAGCACAATGTAGTCGCCTGGCATTGTATAGGAACATATCAAACAGAATATTGTCAAAAAGCGAAACGTTTGGACAACGTAGTTATGGAGGCTATGAAGCTTCTATATATTGTCAATCTCACTCGACCAAAGCACCAGATGGCGCTAAGGTCCTGCCTTGAACACTCTATCCTTAATGTATATAAGCTACCAAAGCCAAGCAACAGGGCTAAAATCGCTTTCATTTTGTTAAAAAACCCCACTAGCGAAACCTCTAACTTAAACAAATATAAAAAATGTAACGAGTACTACGGCATCTTAATACGTATTGTTGCGGTTGCCAACTTGGAAGCTAGGTAAACGTATTATTTATTCCTGTAGTTGCTTATTCTTTCGTCGTACGACCAAACATAAGTCTTGTTGCTATAATTCTACGATAGGGTGACTTAGGGAATTGAAGAATGGCGAATAAGGCGATATATGGAGGATCATCTCAGCGGATAACCACGCACAAGCCCTGGCCACGGAGCACCTATGCCTGAATCATATCGACACCTTAGCATCAAAATGCAGCTCCGATCAATCATACTAACCGTTCTTTTCTCTGTTCTCTTGACCAGGATGGTGGCAAAACTCCTCTACTATAGAACCGAAAACATCGAGCTGAATTGGTTGTTGAGAGTTCAATGCTCCGATCCAGCCGGCCTTGTCGTATTTGGATGTGACGATTTCCAGAGCAGAATGATATGAAAGTAAAGCTATTCACGAAGTACCAAGCCCATACGATTCAAAATGTCATTAGCTGGTTTCATTAGAAAAGCAGCACTGCTTCAAGGAATGACGGTGCCAACCCATGGTGCAAGGAGTAGCTTGAAGAGGGTCCTTGCTCGTGTTGTTCAATAAATTGGAGTAATGCCACTGTAAAAAGCCAGACGACACTGTTGGATAGATAGGCATTTAACAGCTGAAGCAGACTACGCTGCAAATGACGAGATTGACTGCATCACGCAACACTGGATGGTCCCTGAGCGCTATTTAAACCTCGGTAATTGTCTAACGACCATATAATTTTAATATGAAGGATCACTCTTTACTACTTTCAAACCCCGGCCCATTTAAGCTTTTCTTGTTTCATCAATATCGCAGTGGAGCAGACTCGAAGACTCCACCTATGACGTCTTTCTGTATGATTATCGACGCATCGCTATATCAGCGATCTGTTAGAACGGCATCTCAGCATGAATTGAAACGCGAAAGGACTGGACTTGTCACATAGAACATGCCTGGAACAGCCCAGGTGTGAAATTTCAGGACTGTCGTTAAGAGATGTCTCAACTTAAGTGATTAACGCTCATATTGTTAGAGATTGACAAGGGAATCTGACGAGTTGGGGTCTTCGAGCATCTCTTACGACGTAGCACACATATGCAACTCAAGGTCACGATGTTGTGCGATTGGAAAGGGTGCAGCTATTCTTATTTCGGAGAGGGTGAACGGTTTTCCTCGGATACATACTGTATAACACCCGCACTATACTGCCGAAGACACTGCCCGCAAACTTCCTGAATATAAATCACCG